GGCGCGGGAGCTGCGTGTCCCTTCCTCCGCTCGGCCCCGTGTGCCCCCGGAGCTGGGTCAGGAGTGCTGCGGCTCTCTGGGCTCCTTTTGGGTGTACAGGACTGGAGGTCTGCGCTGGCGGGGAGTAGCTCTTTTGTACTTAAAATTACTGGTTGAAAGAGTTTTTGCCTTTATATGATCGGCAGAATTCCTGTAAGCTCAGTTATGTTGTATCTGATTTCTTTTTCACACTTTAAATTAGTTGTAGTCCTTGCTTACTGGTGCTACTCTGTGCATCAAATTCAAAAACTGAGATAAATACATAGAGATGTAGCAATAGTTTGAACAGTGTGCTCGATGCCTGTCTGATATGGGTCTGTAAATCTCGTGTTATTTACATTGATGTGTGTCCTTTTCTAGGGTCTTGTTCTGGGAGTCTACTCTAATGAAAAGGATGATGGTGCTGCCCAGTTCACTAGTGCAGGAGATGCTTTTGATAAGCTTGTGTCTGGAAAGCTGAGAGCTCTTCTGTCCTTGTAAGTGTGTGATAAGCTTCTGAAATGGATTAAAATACTACAAATATCAGGAGGAATGATCTTTTTTTTTTTTTTTCCGTTATTACTGTCTGTTCATATCACTGTCAGGCTGGTATTTGCTTCGGCAGTTTGGAAGGGAACTCCCATGATAAAACCACTCATTGAGCAAACATGCAAAAATTTCATGAGACTTGTCCTCTGCTCTGAATCAGCACAAAGACAAATGTCCCAGTTGCATGTGTGGCACACTGTGTGGTCATGGAGTAAATGTAGTACTGTAAGATTTATCACAGGTAAGGTCTTCTGTATTGAAAGAATCTTTTTGTGTCCTAGGTGTGGGCCATCTTTGAAGAAAGGCAAAACACGCATATTTCATGGTTTGCATCAGGTATGAGCTTTGTGTTTTTGTATGCTAGTAGATTGATGTGTGAAGTTTGTCCTTATGTCTAATTCTATGTTGAGTTCACTGCTGTGCTTGTATAAATGGCCTGCTCTTCTTCCCTCTCCTTGACCATTTCAACTCCTGCTCTGCACTGCCCATGTTTGCACAGACTTTTGTACATCCTGTACTCCCTCCACCGTGCTGCAAATGGAAAGGATGTGAACAAGTCTGCCCCAAAGGTGCTCTACTGCTTCCTGAATGAGCTAAAGCATGGCAGTTTTGGATCTGACTTCTCTGCCTCCTGTGCCTCCTGTGCCCAGGAGGGGTGAGTGTATGAGGAGTTACTGATAGGTGCAAAGACCTTCCAGTCCTGACAGTTCTAACAAAAGACAGTCCCTTCACATGCTTTTGTCCGAGGTTTTAAGGCTTGAAACCTCTGAAAACAAGATATGGGACTGTTCTTCAAGCAGGATTTTCGTATGCACAGACATGATAGATCACAAGGGTATGGAATGAAGAGTCATCTTCTCAATGTCAGGCTTTTTGTGCCATTTGGGAAGCCAGGATAGACCTAATGCACATGTGTGA